TCTTGGACGAGTGAAACCAGAATGCTCTTTAGAAGTAAGGATGGTGAGACTTCATTTCGTGTACTTTGAGCATGTTGTCAGGAAGAACCAGTACCTGGAGAAGAACATCATGCTTGGTAAAGTAGAGGGTCAGTGAAAAAAAGGAAGACCCCTAATGAGATGGATTGACACAATGTAAGCAATGGACTAAAACATAGCAATTGTGAGGATAGCACAAGACCAGGCAGTGATTCCATTCTGTTGTGCATAGTGTTGCTATCAGTTGAAACTGAGCTTTTGGCACTTAACAACAAGACTTATTGATGAGTTGTCATGTACCAGGTTCTCCACCCACAACATTACTTATTTTCTCTCATTTCAGATATTGAATGAAAGAAGCAAATAGTATGTGAAAAAATATTATTTACATTTTGTACTTGAGAACCCTGAGCCCCTAGGTCTGTATTAACCTCTCCTCCATATGGAAAAATACTCTTATTCTCCAAGGTCATTGATCCATTTTGCTGCATCTTTGAGGAACAATAAATAATGAAAATACTATATTCTAATAATGAATGTGAAGTCTTCATTTGATTCTCTGTTCTTCTGTTGAAAGAAAAAAGGGTAGAAAGAAGTTTTATCAATTAGGTTTGGGTTTTCTTACATTACACTCAGATCTTGCCTATCTGTTGTTGTTGTTAACATCTGACTCACAGTGACCTTATGCACAACAGAATGAAACAGTTCCCAGTTCCTGTGTCATCCTCACAGTAGTTGTTATGCTGCCACTGTGCCAATCCATCTTTTTGGGAGTCTCCCTCTTTTTTGCTGATCCTTCACTTTATCAGAGACTGATTCCTCCTGATAATATGCCCCAAATATGAGAGATGAAGTCTCTCCATCCTTGCTGTACTTCTTCCAACACAGATTTGTGTGTTCTTCTGGTAGTCCATGGTACTTTTAGTATTCTTCTCCAACACCATAATTCAAATGCATCAGTTCTAGGGTCTTCCTGATTGAAGCCAAAATTTAAAATTATCTTCAATGAAAATTTACTTGCATGTGATATTAATGATACTGTTTGATAATTCTGATGGTCTGTCTAGTGATCTTTCTTTGGAAAGGGCACAAATATCTCTTCAAATTAACTGGCCAGGTAGCTGTCTTTCAAATTTCTTGGCACTGCATAAGTTTGTTGAAACATTTCAGTTTGCATTCTGTCAATTCTTGGAGCCTTATTTTTTGCTAATGTCTTCAGCGCACCTTGGGCTTCTTCAATACTAATGTTTTTTTGATCACATGCTACCTCTTCAAATATTGGCTGAACATCAACCAATTATTTTTGGTATACTGTGGTGTTTT